AACGTCTGGAACCAGCCTCCGCTCCCCTCGTTAACGCGACGTCGGCAGCCGAAGTTACCGTCTTGCCCCTGCGAAGGACGACCGCTTGCGTTACGCACGGCCAGCGTTCTGAATCTGTCCTTCAGCCCATTCGATAATTTTACGAAAATAGGTCAGCATCTCCAATTCTGGAACTGCCCACCACTCACAATTCGTCGAGATTATTTATCTACTAGACACTTCAGGAGAATGGTCAACGTGCATTAGGGACATCGTCCAGTAAAGCATCTTCACGGTCGCGGTGTGTGAACTTTGTATTCCAGCGGTCGTAGTACGCCGGGACTTGCGGGAGAGCTGAACGGTTGTACGTCCTAACGTAATGTATTTAATTTTTATGAGCAGTGGTATTATCTAATATTAAAGACAATCAAATGTATTTTTTTAACTGGCATCAATATTCCGAAGACTTAACGACACAAGTGGCCACAACATCAGGTGGTCTGTTATCAAGCAGATTTAACAATTATTACTGTTTCTCAATCTCTAACTTTAAATCTTACTTCGCTTTTGTATTGTAACTTCATAATTTAATTTTCACGATGAAAGAAAGAGGTTTGAATTGTTAAAACTGGTTGATTACAGACCACCTGATGATGCGGCCACATTGTGACGCAAAACGTAGATCGGAGTCAATAAAATACTCGTTTCAAAATAATTATTTATTTGAATGGCTTTCAAATTAGAGAATACCTCTGCACATAAAATGTCCAATACATAGACAATTACTTTTAGTTCCGTTTTTATTGTATTTATTTCAGTTTAACTGGAATACCATGTCGCTTTTAATATACGCATTGCAATAATATAACTTTACTGATATGAAAAAGCATTAGTAATAAAGGCAGGGAAGCACAAATATAAACATTTCTTGAAAAGTGCATTACTTCGGTACCGGGTAGTGCGCTTTGTCAAACTTTCTTGCCATTACATGCATTTATAATAAAAAGGTATTTCCGCTCAGTAACAATTCATTTTAAATTACATTTTCTCATACCTTAAGCTCAAAACAAATGCAAAGACAACTTCGTATTAATATGTTATCAAATTAACATATTTAGTTTGCACTAGATTAAATACTGCTACTCAAGTTAGAAACCTACCATTCAGCTACTTGTGTATTTGCATTGCACGAAAAATGCTTGCGAGTTCTAACAACAAAGTTAATTTCTATATAGTACGCGAAACTAAATAAAGTTATCCCTAATAATTAGTTATAAGCACGCATACAAATTACTTGCGAACACCAATGGGAGAAATTACTGAAGCGTACGTTGGTATATTCGAAAAAAAAAGAAAGTGGGAACAGCGTAATTATCCGACGCTCAACTTTATTGCGGTGTTTAAGACAGGAGACACAAATTGGAGTGTCTTACAGTGGAGTTGACTTCGTCATATACGCATAAAACAAAGCAATTTAAAATAAAATCCCTACGCATTTCGTGTATTACTCTATTGAGATAAAATATCACTAGCACGCTTCACAGAAATAGTCATTCATTTCAAGAGTAAACAAACCGAATACGCGGTGAAATAAACACTAAACGAGAAAGCAACCAATCAAAACTTTAGGGGGTGTCAAATTAATGAAGTAATTGAGAATAAAATTTCACCAATTACCAAAGAGGTTGATGATTGAACCTTAAAAGCCTACCAAGAAACTTCATACAATGTATTTCTTTGTAAATGATCACATTTTACGTGTAATTTAGGTCACTATTAATTATAAAAATAATGAGGGAATGTTTAATTTTACATGGAGAATTTTTTTATTTCTGAATTTCTTTTTGATTAAAAACCAAAATAAATTAAATTACTTTCTAAAATGAAGCTTCTAATAAAAGGGATATTAAAACAAATTATCTTGAATTATTTAATAAATTAATAATTTGGTCATTACACTATTTGGACTGGTTATTATTTCTACACTTCATTTTGTAATAAAAATAAGGTATTGTCTGTTATGCTTACCTCCAACAAGCCTGACAGGAAAAAATCCATTACTCCTGTAGTACAAAATCATGCAATTTCAATTATTGAAACGAAAACTAGGTAGGCAAGCTTTCATTATTTGGCATAGGGTCTCTTCGTATTAACATTCTGGATCTTCCCAACTTACAATCATTTGAAGACTCAGTGGGTGGTTTAAATCCACATTAAATAACAAAATATAAAGTCCTGAATACACATTTTCAGGTTCTTACATTTCACGTGTAAAAATGCTTCAGTACCTCTTTAAGACTGGCAATGAAATAATTCCCCATTACCTGACATCCCTAGAATTTTGGTTACTATGAAAGAAACTTCACTGCATCTTCATGAAGGTAACTAGAAATCATGTGGGTTTCAACTCCACATTAATATTTCAAAATTATTTACTTTCTGAAAATTAAAACATCTGTATCTGCACCATCAGTTCACACATATTGACCAACGCATTAAAATAGAAATGCTATATATAATACAAATATTTTGTTAAAATTGAATGAATGAAATGAAAAAGTAATATTAACCAGAGTTAAGAATCTGATCATTTTAGAGTAGTTTTCCTCAACACATCTCACCAGTATTGTTGCACTAATAACCCACCCCTCTAGTCTTTGATAGGAAGATCAAGAACTGCACATACCTTAGCCTTTCCTTACACACAAGTGAAGGTACATTTTCTGCCCTTTTCTCCTCACATTTGGTAGTCCAAGAACAGGAAATGTACTTTCATCCTGAAGAGAGGAGGTACTGTGTGCTTGCGACTTCATATTCATGCTGACTGAACTCCCCATTGCTGCGGCTACAATGATTGAACTTTCCAATGTATTGGAGCTGAAGATGGAGACTCTTGTGTTGCACGAAGTTTTGTTGCAATTCACTGATTACGAATATTCATTCCAATTATAAAAAACAAATGTAGCATCCAAATTCACTGAATTAGCACACGTCATTTGTTATTGTTGTTGATAAAGACTTACTTCAAAATGCTATTGCTTTGAAGTGTAAAATCAAATTAAGTAGCTTAAAGCTTTATTGTCTTTGCAAATTATCTAAAAAATTAAAATCCATTACAATGAAATTCCACTCAATGGATCTATCTTGTATGAAATTTGAATACACGAAGTGAAAAAGATTTTAACTGCCACTTAAACAGGAAAAAATCACTTCACTTGAATTCACAAATCTCACAGTGATCAGCAAAGAACACTAACTTTTATGCTGACCAATACTCATTTTAAGCACATGAACCCTAAACCTTAAAAGATATTTCATAATAATTTTAACATTGTTGGCTATTGGGTTCTGATTATCACAACACATTGTAGCCGTATTCATGGCAATCAGCATGAATAGATCACTACCCTTAAAACTGACCTCTCCCACTGGACACACTTCACTTTTTCACACAGTATATATCCACATTCCTCGGACTCCTCTGCACAGCACAGAGGATGCACTTCTAATGACACTTCAAGTCAGGATCAGTCCATACATTTGCCACATCCACACAACTCAAGTTTTAGAGCTTTTACTTGCAGTCTTCCACAAATGAATGCTAATCTAAACTGATGTTAACACTTCTACAGCAGTGCCCTTTCATCCCAGGCAAGAGTACAATTTCCGGGAATCTAAGAGCATTTTGCAGCTTGAGCTAAATTACCATTTCAAGCTCTAATTATACTTACCTGTCCACACGAACATTATCACAGTACACAACCCCACCTCACTATATTCCTAGAGCCTGCAACCTACACTGCACTAACATTTCAGGAGCTATTAAGGATACAATGCTAGGACTATAGAGGTTTACCGACACTAAATGAAAAATTTTACGTACTGTAATACACGCTTTTATTTCTCTGTACAAAACATCAGCTTGTATTAAAAGTTTGGACGAACTTCAGGTAAACATGATATATGTGTATATATATATATACAGAAAATTATACAACTGTATGCACCAATAATTCTTGAATTTACATAGCATATATTTTCTAATTTCATCTGACATCACTACTCTGACTTGAGATTTACTGGAAGCTAATAAGCTTGACTGGTAAAAAGAAAAGAATGAGCCACTCCCTTGGAGGAAAAAAAAAAAATTAAAAAAAAAAAATACTGCAACCAAAATACAAGATCACAGACTGCTGTTTCCAGCTTTGTACCGTTATCAATGCAAGAGGAAAATTACATTTCACTCTTCCAAAACTGATTTCACAAGGACTCAAACTTCCCAAAATTTATGGCAGTTGTTTGTAAGTACTTTCTTGATACCCTGGCAAAAGTCAGCCCTGTTTACAATACATCACAGCATTAAGACATTAAATGCACATCCAGTAATTTGTTTCTGTACAGAGTTTAACAGACTTATTTAATATTTACTCTCAGACTTCAAATATTTGGGAGATCAAATATAAACAGTCCATCCTCCCTTGTAAGACTGACATAGAAGTCTGGCCTATTCGCCAGGCCAGCCAATTGATTATTTGGTCCCTGATTCATAACTAGTATATCACAACTTGACAGGCTGTAGCAACAAAATACTGACAAGTCATGAAAATTTTGATTCATGTGTAAGTGAACATGACGTCACTACATTTTGCTGGGTACCAAAAACAAAAGAGGATCACTCCTTGGGAGCAACTTTCCAAAATACAAGTTTAGACTGCCACTTTGTACAATGCATAAATTTAATAAAAAATTATTTTGTTTATTTTTATTTTTTTTTACAATTTGATATTTAGGCAGTCTGCCCTTGTAAATTAGGCGAGTTTTCTCCAAAGGAATAGCCCACTTTCTTAACACCAGTCAAGTCACGTATTTGAAGTCATGCTCACTTTACCAATGGATCAAATTTTGCTGATATACATCTACCATTCATTTCACAAATGCGGAGGGATTCACAGAAACGTCGACGAAGGCCGGACGGTGGGCGTCTTGTAAGGAGGACAGCAAGTGGACGAGGACTTCCGCCCTCAACTAGACACGTACGCAGCGAGTTGCTCGAACCGCTGCACTCCACGGGCATCCAGGTGGTAGATGTTCCGTAGAGATTCTTTGCACCCTGAAGAAGAGTTGGAATTATCAGCTGTATTTGTACTCTCAGGTTCTTCAACTGCAGCGTCAGTCTCGTACAGCACACAGATGGAGCCATTCTCTCCAATCCTGTACGACACCTCGCACGGGTCGATCCACATAGTCAACTCAGACGGAAACAAGCTATGCAAAAACGACGCACTCAGTCCAACAGCAATGCCAGCTTGCGCGATCACAGGATCCATTTTACCATTTATGCGAAGACACCGGTAGCCGGAGCCTCTGGTGGGCTTTTCAGGAAACCAGTGCTCTTTATATCGTCGCTGCAACACATCAGTTAGCGATCTTTTGAACATCTCTAACTGTGTGTCGTTTAATCTGTTGTGGTGGAGGCGCAACAAATGCACCAAGAAGTTGGCGGCGGAGTGTATTTCAAGACGCATAATGACACTTAGGACTGGCAGTCGTATTTGTACTTATCAAAATGGCGGTTTTGTATCACACAAAGTCAACTCACACCAAGTCAAATCTATCACATACTCTCTCAATAAATTCTTCTATATCTGCTAGCTAGTTTCTCTGGTGCTGCATCCACTCACGAATACCATAAGTCCTCCCAAATCCCACACAACCCACGAAGTCCTCCGAACCCGGCGCGCGTCTCCCCACAACTTTCCGAGGCACCCGCTCGACACGATCTGAGTTTCAGAGCGCCGAGCGGCCAGGGAACAGTCTTTGTTCGCTCCGCGGCGGACGTCAGAGATACGTCACCACCAATAGGGAACGAGCCCGGCCCCCACTCCTCCCCCGATAGAACGAGATATGTGAAACAACCGGATAACCGAGAGAGATAGCGAGAGAACGGGGAGGGAGAGAAAGAGACTGCTACAACAACAAACTTACTATGCTTCGAGCATCACGCCATTCCCCTCCAGGGGACGGCTACCATTGTGTTATTATGAAGGGGGAGGGAAGCACTGTTGCCAAACCTCCCAAATACACATTTTTCATAAAGAAAAAAGAATAAAAAAAGCTACTACATTCAATTCGGAAAAATCGAAATATCGTGATTTGTTATTCCCGTATACCGATACTCAGAGATATTTTTTTATTCAAGCTCGACAAACTACAGAAACGCCAGAAACATGACGGTAAACAAGCCCTGGAACACTCGCTCGGTCACAAAAAAGAAAACACCGAGAGGAAAACAAGCCCCAGTCGCGGCTGCGTCGTCCACGCATCTATGCGTCCCATTCGTGGAAGGCGCGTAATGGGAAAGCCCGCAACGCAACGCGTCGCACCGCGATGGGACTCGACGAGTCGCGACGCGACGCAGGCGCTGCCTAGTGCGTGCAAGCGGTCGAAGCGGCGGAATCGATGGAGAGCTGTGGACATTCCTTCCGATCCTAGAATGGCACGTATCGACCAGCCCCAATGAATAGTATTTTCACTACGAAGGCCTCACACCCGAAATTATGTAATGAAAGAGCATATTGAAAGATGTTTCTGGTATTTATTTACCACCCAAATTTAGTAAAGAAAAAAGTTGCGACACAACGGAGCAGCAAAATAACTGTGTCCATACGTGCATCAGAGCCTGAGTTCATAACATTTTAATAAATTACAGACATTTGATACGGCTTTCCAAAAATCTTATTTGGGAATTTACGTTACAGAATTATTTTTCATTATATCACTTTTGTCGTTGCAGTATTACAAACACTATTTTAAATGTATTGTAAATACATTTTTATGCAGGGTACATTTGAAACGTTATTTTGACATTTTCATTAGAATGTTTTTCATGATTCTTATTCTCTTTCTTTATTGCAGAGGTAAACAGAGTATCATTTTATAGGTTTTGTATAAAATATTTAATCATAGTCAGTGGCGCCGTTAATACACTTTTGCAGTTTCACAGTGATGCTGAGAACGAAGAAGTCCCTTTCGCTTCAGGACAGAACTTTACACCTCGCTAAACATCACACACGGTAATGCTCTTTTAACACATAAATTCGTAATTGTAATTTATGTATTTTAAACTTCATCTAACAATTAACTACGAACAATTTTATTAACAATTTTACATCATAAAAACAAAAATACTACAATCTACACAACCTTTCGGCCAATGTAAAGTGTCTGCTTTTTCAAACCTGGAAGAAATAGTAAAAAAAAGTTCATAATGAAATCATACCGTTATATTAAAAGTCTAAAGATTAAAGAATTAAAGATTAAAAGAAATTAACTAATATTTAGTGATCTTCAGCTTCATTTGAACAATATTTAACAACTTCGTTGTATGGATGTAATAATGGAAGTCATCTTAAATTTATTAAGAGAGCCGGCTTTCAAACAAATGTACATATTTTGGTAAATTTCATTATTTATATTATATTCTTCTTTTTATTCTTTAAATGTGTTTTATTTTGTATATCTTCAGACCCATGACAGCAAAACCATCTCAAGCCGCCTTTCTTAACAAATTAAATTTGACAAAGATGACTTCCATTACTACTTCCATCCTTAAATAATATCAAAAACATCACACCAGCATCCCCACAACTTTACAACTTTGTCTTTGTCAAATGAAAGACAGCTAAAAAAATGCTCTCCCTAATTTGAACTAACGATCAACATAATTTTTATTTTTGACGATTGGTTTGGATCGTTCATGTTGGTGTTTTTGTGAATATTGATGCAATCGATTTCTTTATCAGCCTGGCAAGCCTACGTCTATGCTGGCGTCAGGGGATCAACGGCCAGTGGGTAAGCAGGCGCGGGACGGGTGCTCCCAAGAGGCCGCTTGCGAAGATAGCCGGGCACCAGGATTAACGGGCTAGAGAGCAGCGAGATTCCG